AAAAATAGAAGAGATTAAAAAAATGACGGATTCCTTGAGTGAGCAGTAGAGGAAAGAAATGCATTGCATGAAACAGAGTCAAAGAGATATAAAGGAACTTAAAATCTCAATCACAAGCCTATTAAAAACAAGTAGGATGCAGGAAAAAATAATCCATCACTTGCAAGTCAATGCAAAGACTGACAATGTGAGACTAATAGGCATCAATGAGAAAGATGGAGTTAATACAAATGATATAAAAAGAATATGGGCAGAAATAAAACCAGAAAAAATCCCAAATATGAGGAAACAACCTGACATTCAGGTAACCAAAGGATACATAACGCCAAAAATTTCAACACAATTAAAAACACATCGAGACATATAATAGTCAAGATCCCAGAAATCCAGCACAAGAATGCTATATTGAAACCTGCTAGAGAAAGGAAGCAGATAACATTCAAAGGAAAACATATCAGAATTACAGCCTACTTCTCTTCACAAACCATGAAGGCAAGAAGATTATGGAACAGAGTACTTCAAGACCTCTATGAAAATAAATTCCAGCCCAGACCACTACACCCTGCAAAACTCTCTTTAAGTTTGATGGAGAAATTGAATACTTCCATGACAAAGAAAAACTAAAGATTTCATAATGACAAAGTCAACCCTACGCAGACTACTGAAAGAAGTTCTAAAGAGGGACCAAAAAGATCGAAACTCTGAGAATGAGAACAGAAGAAACCTACTAAATAGGGCAAACAATTAAACACAAGACCAAAAGCAGTAAACAACAACAGGTAAATAACATGTCAAACATAAGATAACACATTTCAATTCTAACCATCAATGCAAATGGACTCAATTCATCAATTAAAAGAAAGAGACTGACACAGTGGATTAGGAAACAAAATCCAACAATATGCTATATACAAGAAACAAACTTAACTCATCAAGAAATTCGTAGGCTAAAAATCAAATGATTGAAAGAAATATTAAATGCCCCAGCACCTCAGAAAAAAGCAAGGGTAGCAATCCTGTTTTCAGACATTCTCAACTTCAAATGAGAATAATCAAAGGAAATAAAGAAGGCCACTGTATACTGGTTAAGGAAAAAATTGAAGACAACGAACCAAACATGGGAGCACCCAACTATGAAATACAAATCTTCATGGACATGAAAAAATCTAATATTAAAGACCACAATCATAACAGGAGACTTTAACACCCACTTATCCCAAAAAGATAGGTCAACCAGACAAAAAAATTAGTAAAGAAATAACAGAACTGAATCAGACCTTGAAACAAATGGACTTGGGGGACATATACAGAGTGTTCCACCCAAACACAGCTGAATACACATTTTTCTCAGCTGCACATGGGTCATTTTCTAAAATGGACCACATATTGGTCCATAGGTCATGCTTAAGTAAATGTAAGAAAACAGAAATTATCCCATGCACATTATCTGACCACAGTGCAATGAAACTGGAAATAAATGACA